TCCCCTCCCTTCCCCTCCCCTCCCCTCCCGCAGCCCGTGCTCTGGGACCTGATCCAGCGTGAGGAGGGCGCCCCGGCCATGGAGCTGCTGGTGCAGGTACCGATTCCCCCGGTGCCCCCGGGCTGGACCCCCAGCCATCCCCTGCCCCTGGCACACGGTGTCCATGGGGCTCCGGGTCCTGGGCTCTCCCGTGCCAGCTCCCGAGCAGGGTTTGGTGACGCGCGGGGCTGGGTGCCCACAGGAGTACCTGCAGATGCCCCCGGAGAGCCTGCACGAGCTGCTGCTGTCGGTGGAGGGTCAGGCCGCCAGGCAGTTCCTGTCGCTTATGCACCGCACCTGGCACCGGCTGCAGGTGGGACGTGGGCCACGGGGCTGGGACGGGGCAAGGGGCACTGGGCCGTGCCGCGGTGCCTGGCTGGGCCCGGCTCAGCACTGGCGTCACCCCGCAGGTGCCAGCAGCAGATGAGGGTGCACTGCAGTCACTGACCGCGCTGCTGCTCCGCCGCTTCCCACCGCTGACGCCCGTCGACCTGTCGCAGTTCATCCCCTTCCTGTCGGCCTCCGACATCTCCAGCTTCCCGCCTGCCCTCCTGGCCAACGAGAGCGTGTGAGCGCCCGGGCATGGCCCCGGGACCTGCCCCATGCCCCGAGCATGCCCTGCAGCCTGAGCCCGTGCCTCTCAGCACCTCCCAGCTGGCCCTGGGCGCACCCCTCCTGCGTCCCTGCTGTCCAGAGCCACCGGCCGGCCGTGGGCTGCTCTGCCTGGGCCGTGCCACAAGCAGCCATGCTCTGGAGCGTGGATCTGGTGCCGCAGCCCGGGCCCGCCTGGCACTCACGGGCAGGGGTGGGTGCCCGCTTCAGGGCTGAGCACCGCATGCAGGGCCCGCATGCAGGGCATGACCTCTAACGCTCCGGCTGTCCGTCCCCAGCCTGGCCGCACTCCAGAGCCACAGCGGACGCATGACGCGGGCGCAGAAGAGCGCGTTCGCCCAGCGCCTGCTGCAGGCCCCAGCGCTGGGGGACATACCTGCCTGGCCCCCGGCGCTGCTGCGTGCCCTGCAGCCGCTGCTGCCGCACCTGGCCCGCTGCTGCCGCACCTGCCCCTGCGACGCTTCATGCAGCTCACGCCCCAGCAGGTGGGCGCCCGGGGCAGGGCCTGGTCCTGGGTGCTGGCCACTGCCCCCGCGGAGCTCTCACAGGTGTCCCTGGCCCTTGTGAGGCTGCTCCTCTGCCCCGGCCCCTGGAGCGCGCTCACCCGTCTGTGCCCCAGGTGCAGGGCTTGGCGGACGGCTGGCAGGACGTGCGACTGGGGCTGGCACAGGGGCGCCACGTAGCGCGGAGCCTCATCAACAGGAGCCGCGGGGCGGGTGAGGAGCAGGTGCGCAGGTGAGCATGGCCGCCCGGGGGCAGCTCCGTGATGCAGCAGCATGCGGGGGCGTGTCATCACCTCATTGCCTGTGGGGGCACCAGGGTTGCGCTGCTGCCAGGCCACGGGCACCAGGCCTTGCTCCGGGGCTCCAGGCTTGCAGCCCCTGTTCATACCTCCCCGTCCCCAGCATCGGGACCCTCGCCTGCTTCCTGAGCCCTGAGGAGCTGCAGGCCCTGGCGCCGCTGCGCGACCCACGGGGGCCTGTGGAGCAGAGCCTGCTGGCGTGTGCCGCGGACGGGACACTGCCCCCGCACGGGCAGGTGAGCCAGCGTAGGGCCTGTCTCGGGCAGCCTGGCAGCAGGGGACCGTGCTCCGGGCTCCTGTGCAGGGCAGTCACCCTTTAGGAGCAGCCTGTGCTGGAGCCCCCACGAGGGCAGAGGGAGCTCCTGGGGGTGCAGCCGCCTGCATGTGCCCTGGCCCTGCCCAGCCCCTGGTGCCAGGCTGGCTGGGAGGCTGCTGAGAGCGCCCCTGCCCTGGCCCATGCCCATGCGCTGGCTGGGCCTGGAGCTGAGCTGTAGGGGAGCTGCTGGGGCTGCGGCTCCAGGGCTGCTGGCTGGCAGAGCCGCTCTGCTCCCTCGGACGCTGCAGCTCGGCGTGCGGGCCATGGGACCACCCCCAGCACAGGATGGGGGTGCTGGGTGCGCTGGGCTCACAGCACCTCTATCTCCTGCAGGTCACCTATGCACTGGCTGACTTGCTGCGCTTGGCGGGCCCAGAGGCTGTGGAGCCGCAGGAGCTGCAGGCCTGGAGGGGGGTTGTCCCTGAGCTGGGCACGGGCTTCCTGCAGCGCCTGTCGCCTGCCCAGGTGAGCGCCCTGCTGCCGGAGCTGCAGGCCGCGCCACTGACGCCCGCCCAGGCGAGTGCCGCCCCGGCGTGGCTGCCCCGCT